CTTTTGGCTTATGTAGAACTTAGTCTACCTCGAGTTCCTTTTTCAAAGTTGCTTGTAAGGCCAGCAGTTCTTGTTTATTCATTTTATGTGACCTCCTTGCTTGCCAATCTTTATCACCCTGTCGTAAAATATGAATGACTTTCTATAGTATGATATTCTATACTGTGATACGAGGAAAGGAATCGAATGAAGTGTTATGTAGTATGACTTTCTATAGTATGATATTCTATACTGTGATACGAGGAAAGGAATCGAATGAAGTGTTATGTAGTATATGTATGGTATGGTTACTGGTATGGTATTGTGTGGTATACTGTAGTATGGTGTTCTGTGGTATGGTGATCTGTGGTATGGTGTTCTCTGTGGTATGGTGTGGTATGGTGTTCTGTGGTATGGTGTGGTATGGTATGGTGTTGTATGGTATGGTATTTTAATGATGATACAACTAACCTTGCCAAGGGTACCATAAGCAGAAGTTGAAGGTTTAAGTGCTTCGAGTTCCTCCGTCATTTTGGTTGCCAGAGCTTGAAGATATCCACGTGCTTCTTTCTCGTCGCTCACCCTGCAAACACGACATTTTCAATCAATGTGGCCTATGTGGCAATCTTGTTTCATGTTTTGTATCTGTTCTGCAACAGGTCACTACCGTAATTGGCTCACGCTGTGTTCCTGAGCAGTTTTCCTGTTCGTGTTTTCCTTGTTTAGATTCGTATTAATAATGGTCGAAGTGTAATAAATAAATGAACTACACACTACACACTACACACTACAATGGTATTGGTTTGTAGCATCATTTAGTAATTTTATCATAATTGATAATTGGTTACAATACAATGATCCCGAATTCAAGATATCCGGGCAATCCAAAATATTGGGTGAGCGATGAAAGATATGGCCAAAACAAATACCACTAGTTACAGTTACCATAATAAACAAAACAAACATATACATACCATTGAATAATTTCAGCAATTTGTGCCTCCCAGTGAGCGACTTGATCATTCTTTTCCCTCATATCTTTCAATTCCTCGTCGTTGCGACGTTGAGAGACCTGCGCTTTGTTTAGCCTTTCCGTGAGCTGTGAAATTGTAGAATTACGTCAGTATGAGATACCCGCACAGTGATTGGAGCAACAACTGCACGCCACCTGAAGCTGACCTGGGTGGGATTTTCTCGACTCTGGATATATATGGTAGAGAATTTGCGAATTTTGCGCAGATATATTTCTCTTTGTTAATATCCCCAATCAATACCCTAACCCTCACACTATTGTAATCGAAATACGAGTGTAAAAAAATCAATGTTTTCCCAGTGAAGGACGAAGGCTGCCCTCACACTATCAAAGTTTCTGTGATCACAGTAGGAATTTTGCATGGGTAAATTCTAAGTCATTTCCCTCAAACATTTCTTACAAATCAATCCTGAAACAATTACTGTATTGTACTTATATTGTTTGCAAGTAAGTTATCTTAGCAACGATATAAATAAGCTTTAGCCAATTGTTCAGTTGTATTGCGAAGTTTGAACAATGTTATATCAATGTTATTTCTTCATTTGTAAAAATACTTTTCCGACGTTACTGTTCAACGACTGAAGCATACTGACCTTGTCTGTTTCAACTTGCAGTTTTTTGTTGTCTTCTTCAAGTAAATTACGGTCCCGTTCGAATCTTCGCTGCATATCACTGATAACATCCTGCTGTTCACTGATACTGTGAAAGAAAGTATTTTATTGTAATCAAGTGTTGTATATAGTCGGAACTGCACAAGCACGGAAAAACACACAATTTTTTTAAAGTGTACACATGCAAATTTGCCATTTAAACGCTTCAGTACAACCTAAAAATAGTTTAGCTATAGTGGTGAAGTGATGAGGATTTTAAGTAAACTATGACGTGGTCTTACATTGCTTGAATTAAATTAACATGATGCTCGCAATCAAACTAAATGTTTAAAGCTAACACATACCTATCTTTTTTCGCTTGATTCACTTTGCTTGTTAATACAGAAATCTGATAGAGAAATATAAAACATTATTACAATCACATTAAATATCATAAACATGATTTCATATATTGAGCGTCACAAAACTTACTTGGCTTTCTAAAGTCTTCGAAGCATTTTCTTGATCTTGTAACTTCTCTCTGAGCTCCTGAAGAAAGCCCAGAACATCAGTAATCATAATACATTTCCTAAGACACTACACTTTAGAACCGTTTCCTTTGCTAAGATTTTAATGTAAATATCTTAAAAACATTCCCTCAATATATATATACTTAATAAACACATAAGAGCTGAACTCCTAAAAACACTGATATTATCCAACCATACATGCACTGCACTTGAGGGATTAAAGGACTAAACGTCCTCAAAATATAACAGAACTTCAACATTCTGAGAGAAGGCTGTTCGTCTGGCTATACTAACTTGATACGCCAAAGTTATAGTTATATTTTCTGTTATAATCCCTCAACAAGTATGTTCATGACTGCCTATACTCCATTCGAGATATTATCCAACTTTTTTTTAGTATTAGTAAACCCAATCTTTGTTTGTTTGCTGTAAAAGTGATCTTGTTAATACGAGAATATACACCGTAACTGATAAAACTCCAGATTCAACTTTAACTATACCGTTATAATACCTTTTGTGATTTATGTATGGCGGTTACTAAAAATTGAACACTCATTTAATTCAGCGAGAGTTTACTTGAAACAATATACCATGAAAGTCAACGACAAACCACTCAACGTATACAATTCTATATAGTTGCGATTCTTCAAGACAACGAAACGTGTAACGGTAATGAAATAAATTTTCGAGATGATATACGACCTCTACAAAAACCACTTTGCTCTTTTATACATAAAATGTCTGGAATGTTCAATCAGTTTACATGTTACTAAAAATTTCATTCACAATTTTCATATATTTCAGAATTTCTTTAAAAATTTGTGCAGGTGTAATTTTATTGTTATGTAATACAATCAACGTAAGCTCTATATTCGAAATGGCGGCCAAATGTTAATAATAAAATTGTTGAAATAAAAAAATTCATAATGTAATATACAAGAGAGTAATACAAGAGGCCTACTTAACCTTGTGCTCATTACGACGAAACTAGCCAATCACATCGCTTTGTTTTGGTCTCATGACTGATTTGATCATATTGGTGATAAACACTGATCTAATACTATTACATCAGTGGTAATAAGTAAATGAATGACTCATAATAATGAAATTTCTGCTATGTACAGTTTTCAAATGTAGCAGGGGAGTGATATACAACATCTACTTATCAATAATTTTCGCGAGGAAATTAACCATTCATATATTTCTTTATTTTGGTCACATGACTTAGTAATACTAAATGTACAAATAACTTCCGATGTTTACCGCCGGTTACTTTGTTTCGTACTTGTAATATCAATTCTGCTCTCCTTTCGACAAGCTTTCAAACAAAGTTATTTTTCCTCGACCTGGTCTACTTTATAGCTTGGTTATTTTCGAAAACGACGTCTATTTCATAAAACTGATCTAGTTATTTGCTATCTTAAATCTTGAAGTTTAGTTATCTTGTTAAAGAATGAAAGTATTGATACATCATAGCTTGGTTACAGAGTTCAGTTGTGTTGCTATCTAATCAATATACACTCAGTTTGAAAGACTTCCTAGACCGCCCCCTGCCCACAGCCACCTTCTTTATCAACACAGCGATCTACTCAGAATAATTCTGAAAGCCGTGCTTCATCAGGTGTTTCAATTGCTATGCTAGAACTACACTATGAGAACTCCGGAATTTGGGGGCACATATTTAACATTGTTTATCAATATCGTAAAATTATGCAAATGGCAAAAAAGGCTTAAAGAAAGGTTGAGATTAATATATTATGTATCTATAGCAGAACAAATATTGGATTTCGGTGTCAATTAACAAGAGAGTACGTGTGCTTAAGCGACTCTTTTGTAATCCAAATTAATTCTATATAACTGTTATCCCTAGAGGTCCAGTAAAGGGGGGCGGGGGTGTCCAAACCTCCTTTGGGGAAGGGTGCACAGCCCACTCCATATTGCCTTTGGGCTACATACCTTAACTTCAGTCATATATTCTTTCTTCTGCTGGGAAAGAGTTTCTTCATGGTCGATTTTCTCTTTCTCTAACGAAGCTTTTAGCCTAAAACGAGTACCATCGACACATGTGAAATCTATATCGCAAATCATGGCGACTTTTCTTGTTTTAAGCAATTCTGCCTTAAGTATTGTCTTGAGACGACACGTCGAGGGCATTATAGAACATCAACAGCTTTCGAAAATGGAATCCAATTGAAATTATCCATGTCAATATAAAGTGGCGCGACTTCTCGCCGTTGTCATAGAAAATATTTCAGAGATCCACAAATAGTAGTTAGGGAGACAGTTGACACAGAATACCAAAAATAGTAGTTAATGATTTTTTAAGGAAACCGCCGCATTTCAAATCTGCATATGCACTGTTGACTGATATTTCTAATTTTACTACGACTCCGAGAAATCCTTACCAAATCCCGTCGTTTATAATGAGCCAAATCTGAGCATGAGAAATATTTCCATGTATTTAAATTATCGTTCATCGATCAGCTTTATGATAAAAGTGAGTTTAAGATACCCCGGTTTCGGTGTACGGGTACGAGTAGTGTCATCTTGTTTACTAGTTTTTACTGAGTAAAGATACAGACATCGACGAAAATATTGCTAACCAAAATCATGCTACCCGTACACGTACACCGAAACCGGGGTATCTTAAACTCACTAATTACAAATGGACTGTACGCGCAGTTATGGGAAAACGAAGTAAGCTAAAAACATACTTAGTAATTTCTTTCTGTTGTTGATCAGCAGTCGTATCAAAACCTGTCAGTTTTCCTAAAGTCCTTTGTTTGATCTAAAAATAATAAATTATGCTTAGCGTATATTGGAGCTTTATCAGCCATGTCTATAGATTTCGCAAAAGGACCAAAAACAACTATCCCCTCTCGATGCGCTATTAAATCGGAATACGTGGAAGAGTTTGGTAGATTATCACTGGAAGTACAAATTTCGCATGCAAGTTGAAATTCTAATGACGTAACTGCGAATGAACCCAATCGCGAAGATGTTCGGCAGGACATATATCTGTACACTTAAAAAACCCGTGGCCGTTCGATTTTCTTATTCTGATGGATGTGAACGAGTAGATGGGTTACGAATGTTCTGAGTATATGTTCCCTCATCAGAACATTCATAGCTTATCCGCTCGTTCACATCCATCAAAAGACGAAAATCGCACTAGAAATCACAGGAAAAATTGCAAGTGTAAACAGGCCTTAGGTGTTCCATTATTTACTGTAGAGTTATGTTTACCTTAAGTATATCAATTTCTTCTTCGAGTTGTTTCGAGTATTGTTCACTGCGAGCCTTGAGTTTCTTCTCTTTGCTAACTTCAGCTGTCAGCTCATCAATTTGACTACTCAACTAAACACACCAAACACACAATGTTCATAGAATGGAAATTGTATGGACCTTATTGGAAATAGAATGGATTTTGGTTATCCATAATAATTGTATATTTCCATAGTATGAATATAGTATCGAAATAGTATGGATTTAGTGGTGCAATTGCAAATTTCGTAGTATGGATTTCACTTTTCTCCCCCAGTGTATCTGAAGCGAGAACTCGAGTCCAAAAATTGAAACCAAAGATGGAGCTATTGGAAGTTATTGGACTTCCAGTCCCCTTCTATTGTGTTGGTATATACAAGTTCGTCTTTCACATCAATAATACTATGGTTTTGTGAAATGTTAACTTGTTTAGCGATACGATCCATCAGAAAAACTGGAATTAGCTTTAGGGGAAAATGGTATTAAAACTGTTTACAACCTTCAGAGCTATTGGACGTCAATGGCCGCCGTCTTGGCTTCACTGTTCTCATAGGCCGAATGACTTAAGTTCATGCTCCAGAAATATATAGAGGTCACGGAAGTATTTTGATTTGTTCGTATTGAGTGTCTGTATATTCCCAACATTTCCCAACTCACTTCTCGTTTCTTCTTGTCCACATTTCTCATGTCTGTCTTCATATTTTCCATTTTCTCAAGAGCACTCTCTGAAGAAAAAAACAGACATTTACTATATAAGCTGAGCAATCCTTGCTGGCAGGCATTTAGCCAAGCTAACCGTCCTATGTTCATTCTGACGTCTTTCGATTGTCATCCACGTGCACCGATATACATCGCACGTTTTTCCTATTATCATTTTCTTTGATAATTAATCTATTTATGCAGTTATGTATTCATCTGCTTAATATACTCATCGTCTGTCAAGATATGATGGTCTGGAAGCCGGGCAACTTCAAAGCCACAGAACAGAAGACTTTTGTTTGATGTTGAAGTGTACCTCACCGTAAACAAATCCTTTGTCTCAACTTCATTAAATATTACTCATCGTGGTTGCACGTTTCATCTCAGCTATTCCTATTGGACGATTACTTCATTATACGAAAATACAATGAGCTCAATCACCGTGAACGTGCACCAATGGACCATTTGCATTATAGACTAAATTTTGATCTAGACAAAAATTTCATCACAGCTTGAAAGAGCATCACAAAATTAGTAATATTCCAAAGTTTCGTTGCCAAATGTTGTAAAATGCGGATAATATAGCCTTGCGAAGTTTAACGTTTTTCAGTCATTTTGTATTACGCACAGGAAATTGACAGCCCAATCGGGTGTTGGGGCATCAATTTCCTTTTTGTAATACAAAATGACTGAAAATTGCAAATTTCGCAAGGTTATATTATCCGCATTTTACAACATTTCGCAACGAAACTTTGGAATATTACTAATTTTGTGATGCTCTTTCAAGCTGTGATGAAATTTTTGTCTAGATCAAAATTTAGTCTATAATGCAAATGGCCATTAACATAAACTCCGACTCAGACAAAAACATAATACAATGATTTCTGTTACGTTTCCAGACCATCACATCTTGACTATGACATGTTCCTCTTTTACAAACCTAGTTCCTCTTCTTTCTCTCGTTGGCTTCGCGTTAACTTCGTTTTCTGAGATCTCATTTCTGCTAGTTTATCATTCAATTCACTGAATTCAGCCATTGCCAGTTTACGTTGATTCTGAGCCTCCTTCAACTCTTTGGATAACGCGCCATTACGCTCTTTGGATTCTGCTATATCCTACAGTATTTTGATAATGCAAATTCTATGAGAACCAGTAAATTTAAATGGTTACAGCACCTTCATATCTGATGATGATGCTCTACCAGTAACTTTCGCCAATGTTCAGGATTTCATTAAAATTCATCAATCTTCACATATGCAAAACTTCTACCAACCTTTTCTAAAATTTCTTTTTCCTCTTTCAAAGCTTTTTTATCTTTTTCAGCAGCTCTGAGTTTCCACTTCATATCTATGAAACAAAGTTTGTATTTTTTAATAGACAATTCCCATTATAGACTAATTTTAAAACTAGGCAAGGAGATGCAAATAAATCACCACAGCGAGAAAGAACATACTAAAATGAGTAAAATTGCAAAGTTTAGTTGCGAAATGTTGTAAAATGCGGAGAGTATAGCTTTGCAAAGTTTGCACATTTTGTATACTTTTGTATATATCGAGTGCTGAAATTGCTACCATTTTCGGTCCAAATGTGGTAGCAATTTCCGCACGCAATACAAAAGTACACAAAATTTGCACGGTTATATTTTCCGCATTTTACAACATTTCGCAACCTAACTTTGCAATTTTACTAATTTTAGTATGCTCTTTCTAGCTGTGGTGATTTATTTGCATCTCCTTGCCTAGTTTTAAAACTAGTCTATAATGGGAATTGTCTATATTAGCTGTAATGGTTGCGCTTTCTTTACAGTCCAGTTACTAAGACAGATTAGATACGTAGGGCGCTTTCCATTAACACGACCAGATCGGTCAGAACGGTCAAATAGTTGAATGGAACAGAAAACGTTTGGGCTTCGAACATTTCTGACCGGAAAATTTAGCCGGATAACATTAGAATGAGGTCCATTTTCGCTAGATATTTGAGAAACATAGACCAGATCTTTCCATTGATACAGAGACAAAAATTCACGTCTGACCAGTCAGACCATTAAATGGAAAGCGCCCGTAGTTTTGGCCCCCATTTTTTGGTAGCAAACCGCGCAACAACACAGAGTCATACATTTCAGGAAGTAGTATCTCTCTCAAATCACTGACGCAGACCATTGGAGATTATAATATAGCATTTGCAAATTCTGAACGCTGATTGGCTAAGAGCCATGTTGATATAACTCAATGTCAACACGGAAACGTCGGAAAATTTCTTTCTTTATGTTTCTCACATTTTCTCGTTTTCCCAATTTCCACTCGTGTTGATATAACTGTATATCGACACAAAAAATGTTTTATATTTGTTATTATAATATAGTTATTTGTAAATTCTGAACGCTGATTGGCTAAGAGCCGTGTTGATATAACTCAATGTCAACACGGAAACGTCGGAAAATTTCTTTCTTTATATTTCTTTGTGCTATATTATAAAACAAATATAAAATTTTTTTCCGTATTGATATACAGTTATATCAACACTCGTGGGAATTGGGAAAACTCGAAATTGTGTGAAAACACTCCGCCGGAAATTTCCCAATTTCCACTCGTGTTGATATAACTGTATATCAACATGGAAAATGTTTTATATTTGTTAATTATAAACAATAGAACTGCGTTTTTACTTCACTTCATTCACTCCTTCGCTTGCGGCCGTCCGCATGCTTTCCATGGCCAGGTTTTTGCCAGCCCAAAAATAACATTTAATATTTCTATTGCGCGATTTTTACATATTTATATGATCATGTGCGCATTACAATGGACGACTCGCGCTTTAGACTAAATTTTAATCTAAGTAAGAACAACGAAATCTATCACCACAGCTAGAAAGAGCGTCTTGGAATTTACTAGTAATATTACAAAGTTTGGTTGCGAAATGTTGTAAAATACGGAAAATATAGCCCTTCAAAGTTGGCAAATTTGTATATTTTTGTACGTGCGTGAATTGGTAACTAAATTAGTTACCAATTTCCGCACGTTATAGAAATGTATACAAATTTGCCAACTTCGCAGGGCTATATTTTCAGTATTTTACAACATTTCGCAACCAAATTTTGCAGTTTTTCTAATTTTGATAACTATATAAAAATGACAATTATACCATGAGCTCGAGTTGTATATGAGCTGATAGCCGACGAGGTGCGTAGCACCGAGTTGGCTATCAGCCATATACGACGAGAGCGAATGGTATAATTGTTTTATAATGTAGCCTAATATAGCCATTAACTGAAGCAGTAATTAATTATTCACTGTTACAATGTGTTGACAATTTTTTCGGCCAAAAACAGCTTGAAAATTTCAAATACTTTTGTTTTACAACTCGAAGACGAAGTGCAAGAAATGGTTTTAGAACCTCTATATCTCACAGGAAAGCTCAGATATATTATACAGATGTTTGGTACTATAGTAAGTGCTTGTTGACTGCAAATTCATTTGTCGTTCATTGCAAACTTTTCTGAACAATTTATATTCTCAATGAACATGTTTTTTTGCTGTTGTTTCGGTATTAATTATTTAAAAAACTTGTATTTAAACTAATTTCTACGTAATAAATGTATTTTGCTAACCTGTCAAATTTTTTTTGAGAGTTTTTCCTTGTGATATTATTATTCTCAAAGCGAATATTTTCCTTCTTCTGCTTCGCAAAACTCATGTAGTTTTGGACCGCCATCTTGTTTTTCGCTACTCGCCGTATATTAGCTGATATACGGCGAATAATTCAACCAATCAGATTGCAGAACAGCTCATATACGGTGGATGACTATATTATAATTGTTATTATAATATAGCATTTGTAAATTCTGAACGCTGATTGGCTAAGAGCCGTGTTGATATAACTCAATGTCAACACGGAAGCGTCGGAAAATTTCTTTCTTTATGTTTCTTTGGGTTATATTATAAAGGCCTGGTCATATTCCATTTGTGGAACTGCTAGTTGCTGAACAGTTTTCTAACACTGCGACAATACCTTCAGACGAAGTCTCAGCTGACTTTTTATCACTAAGAATTTCTTCAAGCTCTTTTTCCTTATGCTTTAATTTCACTTCAATTTCTAACCAGAAAAAACATAAATAATTTTTAATTACTTTACATATATTCATGACAAAATCACTTAACTTCCATTTACTGACTAGACTACAATTGTTTCACTGACTGTAACGTCGTATGATTAAGAAATCTAGAGTGGGACTCAGGAACAAACGTTTGGTTTTACATTCTTACCATTATTCCTTCTCTTCAAAGCAGAAAGTTCTTCATTCACATTACCACTTTCAGAGCTTCTACTACCGGATTTAGTGTCAATAGATTGTTCTTGTAAAACTTTGGTCGACTCTTGCAGTTTCCAAGTTAATTCTGACTTTTCTCTCTCGAGTTTTTTTATTCTTCTCTCGTAAGCTTCCACTGAAACACTGCTCACTGGAAGGTCAAAACAAAGAACATCGAAATTTACAACCGTTTTTCCTACGAAGATTTCCTTAGGATGGGTTTGCCTATCGATCGATTAAATCGTTCTGTGTTGGTGAAATCATATTGCTGTCGGTGCCTTTTTCATACGAGTAGGAAAGAATGATAAGCAAATAAGATTGAAGAACATACCTTCCTTGGCAGAGTTCTGGGGGCCATTGGAGAACTGACTCTTCTTGTTCTTCAGAGCCAAGTCAGAAAGCATGCTATGAACAACAATTACTATAAACGTCAGACGCTACGGAAGTGAGACTATAATATTAAAACCAGTAATGTTGCTTAGCTATAGGGCACTAGCATCTATTTCAAGTCTTCTCTGTGGGTTATCTTAAAGGCAGCACCTCCCGATTCAGTAACCCTTTGATTTCCCTTATGATTTACTTACAGTACAAATATACATAGTATTTTTCGAACAGCAGTGTATGGCACGTGACGCATTTAGGAGTGGGTAAGTGCCGTTGCCACTGAAAGGTTAGTCATTACCATTGTACGATACATGCAAAAAGAACGACATTATTACCTGTCCTTCGTAAAGGTAAATCCGACGAAAGGTAAATGGTGACCAGTAAACGACGAGACAGACTTTGGTTGAGTTGACGTCTTTATACAATGAAGGAATTGAAAAGGATAAATATTCCTGGCTTTGATAATTGTCTGCATACTTGTGAGCAAGTTTAATGTAACTGTTTCCCGCTTACGATCATGATAGCGCGTCCCGAAACTTTAATGATTGTGATATCATAGACTTGGAATCCAGTAATTACCTTATCAAGGGGCGCTTTATAAAGTGGTATTGAAATTCCGTAAATAACATTGCACATAGCCGACAGATTATTGAATAATTGCGCAAATTCCCATAATCAATTGTGCGTTCTTATCTATTATAGAAGATAAATTGCGCAAATTCCCATAATCAAGAGTGCGTTCTTGTCTAATTAGAAGATATTTACTGGCTACAATCCCAAATAAATGTTCATTTATGGGAATATGGATTGAACCGCATATATGTAATACAAACCCAAAGAATGACAACATGTATTGTCTATACAGCACACGCATGGAAGAAACTTTATCGAAGTCCCAACATTTTCAAAGTTTTCCTTGATGAGTACAGCTAAGCAGTTTGATGCATGAGAAAAAGTTGCATAACAATTTACATACTTTACCTCAAGTTCAGCCAATATGTATATTATAGAAAAACACGGTAAAACACGTTACTTACATTTGCTTTAGAAGCCTCAATATCAACATCAAAATTTGACGTGTCCGTCGCGCCGCTAACTTCTGGCATATAAGGTGGATCAGCTACAATTATTGAAGACATTGTTTTTGTCAAAGATTTCACAGATCTACAGCTAACTATGAAACTATGATAAACTACATAGCAATGCAAGATTATGGACTTACTTTCTGCAATGTTTTCCCAGTCTATCCCTTTGAAAAACGGATGATCTTTAAAATCTGCAATGCCATGCTGGCCCAGTCTCTGTGCTGCTCGACATATTAATCTGAAGAAACAAGCTTAAACATCAAGTTTTCGGTCATGACTGGTATCTGACTCGCATAATGACCAGTAAAAAAGCCAACATTTTATTTATCGAAATGTTGTTAAATTTGTTGTACAATACAACCTAACTATTTAGATGCTTTTTGTCATATGTTAATACCTTTGAATTAAATCTTTGGCATCCGTAGACACTTCAACATGTGATGGCCAATCATAGAAAGTCTATAAAATCAAAACAAAGAAATTACATTCTGCCAGAAAAAAATACACATTCACAGTAGAAATTTTGCAGTGGTAAATTCTAAGTTTTGAAGCATTTGTAAGATATGTTTGAGTAAACTGAGTCAATGTTTAACACAAAGTCAATTGGCTCAAACATTTCCTACAAATCCTTCAAAACTTAGAATCTACGTATGCAAAATTCCTACTGTGATCACAGAAACTTTGAGAGTGTAAACCTGAGCCTACAGACAATTCAAGAGAAGGCTCTTCTCAAGAAACTAGTGGCATCATTATTTGAAATGTGGAAGTGTTTTTAATCTTTCAAGGGTGGTTCAGACACTACTTATCAGTAAGTTTATAAGAGATTGCAAAGATATTTATTCTAGTTACCCCATTTGTAGCTCTACCTTATGGTTCATGATTTTTCCATATGTCTCAACCAAGGACTCAGCATAAAAAGGCGTCTCGCCAAATAACATTTCATACATACAGATGCCAAGTGACCACCAATCACATTCCTTGCCGTATTTTCCTTTACCATCCTCCATCGCCTAAAAACGATGTTAGGAAAACGATGCAATACAAAAGAGTGATGAAAATACAGCAGCTATGCTTCTTTGTGAACTGGGTATCAACTTCACAAGATATTGGGGGATGAATTAGGTTGCAAAAATATAACAATCTTTTGTAGCAGGGAATCTTAGTTCTTTAAGCTTTGTGGCCTTAAATTTCATGCAATATATTTAATTTATAGCATACCAATGCTTTTATGATTGAAAAATTATTGTTACAGATTTGTTATACAGTTATTCAGCTTTCATTCCAAGGCTTTTAAAAAGTATTGGAGGGTGGTTTAGCTACAAGCTCATTTTACATGTTATCTATTTGAACTCATTAACCATGGGGTAACCAAAGGTCTTACCTGGAGTATTTCTGGTGATATATAATCTGGTGTACCCACAGCAACTGCTGATTGAACCTGAAGAGATATAAAAATAGGTACAAATGCGTACACACACTCTTAACTGAAATACAGTTGAGAAATTTCACAAATATATGTCCAGTAACATGAAATAGTGATGCTATATGTGCTCATAACATAACTTACAGTTCCATCTTTGCATAATTTTAAACATGACCCAAAATCAGCCAGTCTAACATGGCCTGTGACGTCCAATAAAACGTTATCAGGCTTCACATCCCTATGACATAAGGAAAATTGTTCATAACCCATGCAATGTTGGTAGATATCCTGTTGGTCTTACCACTAATTATATAGTTAATAAAAGTACTCAAAATTTTATAAAGTCATGATAGTCAGCATTCCAGTACCTGTGTACATATTCCATTTCATGCAATGAATTGATTGCCAAGATCATTTCAGCCAGATAAAATTTTGCCATTTCCTCTGGTAAATGGTCTTCGAATTTACTTAGAAGCGTAAGCAGATCACCACCGCTGTAGTAATCCATGACAAAATACTAAATAAATTATGAGAAACAGTTCAATATATTGGCCAGTTTGCTCACATGTTTTTTAAATCCACCTCAATGTAGGCAACACCTCTCTCCTTCTATATAAAGAATTGGATACCTACCAGAAAACTGTCATCTTGAAAAGCATAGTGTAAATTAGTGATCCATTGATGATCACCATAAACCAGTACATCTCTCTCTTCCTTATAGCATGCAGTCTAAATTAGATTTTAGAATTATTATAGAGTTACATTTTTAAATATAATCTTGATACAAGAAAAGACAAGGAGAACTTAGACTCTTCGCGTGAAAGCCCTTCGTTGGGCTACTAACATCCTGGGCTACTAACATCCTCGAAATGTTGAAGTTCTCCTTGTATTTTTCAGATACTTGTATCCCTATTAATCCATAGCTTTCAAGTCTATAATGGCTTATAATCAGACTAGTGAGCTCAAATTTTTATTGAACCTTTTGAAAGAATAAAATGAATTATTATCAATACACATCATGTTTTCGCTCGCTACGCTGGTTTATATAAATGAATGCAAAGTCCAGTCGAATTGTAATCAAGACCCAACGTTTCAACACTCCAGTCTAAAGTTAGATCACCTCTGATGAAGACACTAGACTGGAGTGTTGAAACGTTGGGTCTTGATTACAATTCGACTGGGCTTTGTATTCATTTATGTAAACCAGAGTAGCGACCAAAAACATGATTGATATACCTGGTTGCTGTGAACGAACAAACTTTAAATCATTATATATAATAATGCAAACTTTATTGATTGATTATTCAATTATATACAACTACAATGATAAACCTTGCTTAACAGGTAGTTTATCAATGTCTACTTGAGCTGACACCATATTACAATATATATATATATATATATATATATATATATATATATATATATATATATATATATATATATATATATATATATATATATATATATATAATTATTAAAAAAAAAGATTATATTGTAATTCAAAATATATAATGCGATGAATAATAATAACATAGTAGTATTTTGTGGAAAAGAAATGAGATAATTTCTTGTTAACACTGGATAGCCATATGCTGTCTAGCATGTCTCATAATACCCACAGCAGCTCCCAGCTGTGTGTAAAATTCTAAACTAATTTTGCATAATTTTACAAGCACTTCAATATAATTACTAACAGTGACTCAGTCCTAATTGCAATCTTACAATCACTTCTTTATTACTGTAATTTATATTTGTCCCCGCAGAATGCCAAGATATTTCCTTATACACATACCCTCCAGATGATCTTGATACACAGAAAAGTACTGGCACTAGTTGTCAAATAGAAATCCATTTTATGATTAAAACAACTGAATATCTCCTGTAATATACTTTATTTCAATTCCATATTTTTGTCAGAGCTATAGTTCTTATAACCAAACATAATTACAAAATTTCAACTAGTTTCATAAAGAATAACGAAAGATATAATTGACTGAATACATCAAAATGGATTTCTATTCGGACAACCCTTTCTGAGCGTTGATTGGCTAAAATACGAACACGAGATCACCTGGCTGGTGATGTAGTCATGCACTTACCAGGGTCAATTGGCCATTCCACAGTACAGTGCACAACAAACGATAGAGCATTTGCAGCAGACAGAATGAATGAAAGAGGTTATATAAAAAAGGCTTCATAAAAAGCCTTCATTATTGCACAACAATTTTCCCATGAAAAGTAAGTTGCCTGGCACTGGACTGAGCGTGGGGACAAAATGTGGTGCATTGCAGCCAAAATGTGCATGTACATGAATTGTGGCTAAATTGGTTAACACTAATGACAGACAGTTTATGACCATTTATGAGTAAAATAACAAAATGCCCACATTATGGTTCATTGCACTAGACTAACCTAACGACCAACCCTTAATTAACCCATTAAGTTGCATTGTGCCCTAATACACCTCACATTATTATTTTACTTTGTCTAACAAGACGATTTTACTCTTTTAGAGCACCGACACTCAATGGGTTAAACTCACTTAAATTTCAAGTCGACAAGGTTTCATTTGCAGACCCGAAACTACAATAACCTGAGTTTCAAGGGCTGAATAATTATTACACCCTGAATGGAAACGTGTACATTTATACAAAAATATAGCACACCATAGTTAATAGTCAAAGAATACAGTATTGTAATGTGTATTGCTACCGTAATCTATTACTTGAATTGTTGAAGTACCAAACATTTTTTAAACCATTTACTGTTTATACACAAAATACAGTCTGTTCCCATCTACTTGAGGAAGAGGAAAAAACGTATTTCTTTATTAAATTAAGGGACGAAAATTCCTGAACATGAAATGAAAGAAAGATGGAAGGAAGCGTTGAGATATATGGTCTGTTGCCAAATATGACATGACTTGACAAGGCATAATTATCGAGTCTGAACAATGGTAAACAGAGTATTACAATATAGTTAAAAGGCAACGACTGTGTTTCTTTGAAAATGCCCTGCTACAGAATATTATGTGAACTTTCAAAGTCGAACACCTTTGCCATCACAATAATGGGAAATAAATTGTGAATTAACAAAAGCCGAAATTCGATGACAGCTCGTGTAATTAAGAGGGCAAAATTATCAAGAAGCTTCCTTGTCATTGTCAAATATATTATTCCGGTTAAACTCACCTCGGCTCGTTTCAACATTTCCCATTTATTCAGAGTTTTTAGAGCATAAACCTGACCCGTACTCCTCATTTTTACAACAGCGACCTGAAATCGCAAAATTGCCGTTAGAAATATAAAGAATGGTCGAAAGGATTCTCACAGGTTTTTGCGAAATTCTTCGCCAACACAAAAATATGCCTATTAAACTCGCCTCGCCAAATGCTCCTTTCCCAATGAGACTAAGCATTTCAAAATCATCTCTAGATAGTCGTAATTCCTTTAGACGTTTGGCAATAGGCTTAACTAAAACGAAAAAAGACAATTACAGACTTAGTATTCGAAACATTTTTAAAAAAATTCTAATGCAATCATAAAATTTCGAAAGCGTTCTGTTAAATGCCTCCCTATGTATTGAATGTACTCACCCGTTTCGACGAATTCGGCAATATTTTTATCCCTACGAAGGGATGCACTTGAACACTCATCGTACAAGACAAGAAATACATCCAATAAAGTTTCTGTACTCAAAGCCGTATCTTGAATTCCCTGACTGAAAATTTTTTCCAACGTTTTTAGACGCTCTGTCGGATTCATGTCTGAATTGACCATACTCCGACGAACGGGAAATTTGACAGTACAAAATATTTATTCTAACAGACTTTTAGCGGTTCGTGTCACCGGTACAAAACAGCCATTTAGACACGTAATCTCATAACCAAGAGCTCTAATTAGTCGGCATCAAAGGCACATAGAAATTCTGTATTATTTCCAGAGACTCACAGAATATCATTTACTGTTCAAAGTTCGGGTAGCCATTTGCCATTGTACAATCGACACGAGACTTTGCAGGATTATAAAAAGGCTTGAAATGTACACGATGAATTGTAGAAGTATAACAAAACTGTGTCGTTTTCCACAGAACAAAAGTTTAGTTTGATTATATTTTTTTCTTTATGTTGTTTCTTCTCAAAATAGTTATGGCCGAAAATGCACGCCCGCAAGGAACCATGGGAATGCCCTTCCTTCCGACGTAATTTGCATAAATAGCATTCCAGCCCTGCCAGCAGAGCCAATATTTGCTGCTTTATGCTCTGCCGAACTGTGCGCATAATCGTGTTCTGCGATGTAAGTGCATTTTCATAATCTATTAAAAAATTTGGACCATCGCTGATAATCTACCAATCTACACGACACGACTAGCCGTATGCGATTCTTATCCTGATGTATGTACTCGAATATATGCGTGTAAAGATGTCGCATTTAATCAAATTTCGCCATAGATGAACAGGAATAGTGGCGTCAGGCGTCAGCAGTCGTTTTCATACGCCAGAATTACAGTCTTATCCGACTAGTCGTATCGTGTAAATGGGCCTTAACAGTAACACGTCGTGAACTTAGCAACGGTCAAAACCGTATTTAAATATCGTGAGGTTCGAACTCTGCATTAATTCTACACTTTTATTCTTTTCGATTGTAAACGCCATAGTTGGGTGTCATCACCTTTTAAGTATTATTGTTCGAGAAAGTAACTTTCTTATTAAGAATGCTATGGCCAAACCTGTGGGCTGTGATACTAAGGCTAGGCACCGTTTCATACGTTACAGTCGGTCAACTGATGCGGCCCGACATGTGTGACGCGTTGAATCCTTTGATTAGCATTTGCAAAGGAGCTATTTCAATAAGAACTCCAGGAATCGAACCGGTTGGCCGGTTATCTCGGTTGCGCAATACAAACTTTCCACAACGTGGGCGTATCATTTAGAACAGGGCAGAATCTTTGATTCTAGAGTCTCACAGTTGAACGTTGCCAGAGCGTGAAGGTCGCACTCGGTTGGAGTATTCGGAAGCCTGAGAACTAGCTTGAAAACCTGCTTGATCACCTGACACGCTAGGTTATGGAGGACCAGCAGTTTGTATCTTATGGTTGAATGTTTCCTCTAAAAAATCGCCTTTCTAAACGTTAAATGTTCTTTGTGAGAACAAATAACGTTAAATGCGATCACAGAGGTTACTTTCATGAGTACTAGGAAGTACCTAAGGCTTGCGGACGGGTTAGTAGGGCAAAAAAACATGTTTGTTTGTGTCGGCCATCTTGAATCATTTCATGCCATGCATTTGAAACGCTTGTACTTTGTGAAGCTTTAACTTGTTTTGTTTTTAGGTATCATGAAAGAAGCCCATATAATCAGGTTGGTTGAAAACTCAAGGGGAAACACAAGAATACTCAAGTCCACGTTTCATTAGTTATTAGTAATATTTACTGTAGTATTTTAGGGAACTATGCAAATGTAATCTTAGAATAATTATTAAAACCCAGCTTAATACGCATTTTGTAAAAATATGAAACAAAGCTCATAGCAAATAAATGTTTAAGAGTATCAAGGATTCAAGGGTAATATTTTCTCCTTATTTGTGGGCAATTTTGGAGTGTATAAGCAAAATGTTGCTACTGGCAGGAAAAAATTGCATGCTTCTAGATTCTGGCGTTTTTAATACATTCCAAATTGCTATACAATAAGGATAAAATAGAATCAGTGTGAACAATATTTGCTTACCTTTGCAATATTGTAATGCGATGTCAAGCTGGGTTTTATATTCTAAGATAAGAATTAGAAAAAATTGTTCCAGTTTGGTGAATTTTTATGGTATCACAGAAGTCTCAACGGTAGGTTCTATGTGGTTGGTAGTGGTGAAATATTTTGTGTGTAGTTAGCAATTGTGAGTGTGTGGAGCTTAAGACAGTTGTTTCAAGGTAGTAATACAAAAATGTTTAGGCATTTGTCTCAGTTGAAGCTAGCTTTGTGAAGTAATCTAGCTAACTAGCTTTGTTTCATAGGCTCCTCAGGTAGGAAAACCAGGCATCATTAAGATGTGTGAACACCGCTTGCAACCACATTTTCAATCTGTACAAGCAAATTTTAAGATTCCGGCATTTTAACAATATTTACGTAGCTCTCAAAACACAAAGTTGAACAACTTGAAGTTATAAATTTTGCTTATAGGTGTACTGAAAATATTTATGTGTCTAGAGAAGAATAGAAATATCAACAAACTAGAATCAGTCAATCAGATGTATTGTAATGCTTGGTCAAAGTCGTGAAGTGTTTTAAAGGAATATAAATAGAATATAACCCATTAAAAGCCAACGCTTTCCCTTTGATGAGTAGAATTGTTGGGCGTTAGACAAGGTTAAATAATAAAGTAGGGTACAATGCCACTCAATGGGTTAACTAGGCACATGAGCAGATAGTCTTATTAACCCTTTGAGTGCTAGGGCTCTCCCCTTGACAAGTAAAATCATCTGGCATTAGACAGAGTAAAGCATGGGGCACCATGCAACCATAGTCTTTCAAAACATGGTTTGGAAACTCTGCTAAAGTCTTTGTTCTATCTTTTTGTTCGTGTTTATGCAGTTTTGTGCACGGTCAATGAACACATTTTATTTCAGTATAATGAACAAATCATCCAAGAGCAACGTTTCAGTTCAGTCATTCAACCATGCTATTTAAATATTAATAAACCTAAAACAAAGGATGTGCACAGTGTAAGGTACGGCTCGACATAAAATCCCAGCTCATTATAACCACTTTAAAGTTTACTGAGTGTCCAGACCATGTCTCGAAAGACTATGACTGCAACTCAATGGGGTAATCTAGAAGTTACTTGAGCCTAGCTGTTATTGTCTTTACTCGACACAGAAGAGAAAAAGTTATGTCCCAATTGTCATCACTCCAATCACAACGGTTGTGAAACTCAGAAAAAATTATTATATGCCACTTTATAATGCACAGAAAATATATGAACACTTTCCTATTGAGGATCTACTCTAATTTTCTAAGCCACAATATATGATTTGTTGTAGTCAAATAAGTACGCAAGCAAACAATCAAACAACACGTCAGAGAATCGTTCAGAAAGGCCTTCAAACATCAATGGTGGATCACGAAGTCGCAACAATTCGCCAAAGTCAAGACATAGCAACATGTCTCCTCGATCGCAGCGACCCAGCTACAGCAAGACTAAAGAATTATCGCGACGACGTGCAAGCTCGTCCCCAATTGAGCGAAATGTTTCATCACACCATAGCTCCAGTTCTGGTGATAGAGTATTCAAGGTTGATAGCGTTAGTACAGATGTAAGTGGAAGGTGCATTAATAGAGACCTTATGATTTAGCACGCCAACTCGATGGCAATGGCTACCAATACAATAAATCATTGAACTTATAACATATTCATGAGAAAACTGCATATTAATATGGATTCAATGACATGAAAAATACCAGTAAAAATTCGACGTTTCAAGCGAAGACCCCTTTGTCGTGAAATTGGAAGGACCTTTTCTCAAAGCGTCAAAGTTTTGCTTGTTTTTTTTTTCCCAGCTGGTTGAATCCTATCAATCCGTAGTTTTCTGATGTTTCTTTCACTTCCTACGCTGGCATAAACTGTTCGAGTTCATATAACACATACATAGTCATATAATGTGGCTTCTATCCAGCCGGAATTGTTGCATTAATGGTTTTATCAAATATGTTAGTGATTACCTGTAATGTAAAAGTAAGGTTTAGCCAATAGGGTTACAAAGACATGCCAAACACAGTTTGTATGTATGCATGTCACTTGTCCACTTTTCCAAGCTAGTAATGTTGCAGTGTGAATGTCACCTTCAGAGTTTCTTTGTTGTTTTTTACCTTGCTTTTGCAATCCGAGAAACTTCATGTCATATGTTGCTATTTTATTTGCTGTATGTTGCCATTTAAGTGCAGTGCCACCTGTTAGAATTTACCCTAATGATGCTTCTTTATAGCTCATCTCAAATCTGGGGGTTAGCGTAGGTGTATACCAACTTTTTTTATTTCATTGTTAACAGGATAGCTTCCCATGGTCTCGACATACTAGCTCATCTGGAAAAACCTATTATTACAACTGTAAGACTGAAAAATCTCAATGGGAGAAGCCAAAAGAATGGCTTGAAAGGTGAGTTGTTTTGGCAATGTGCATCACTGGGAAAGCCTGTAACTCACTGTGTATCAAATTTGGCCTTTTCAGAGAATATCAGCTGGAACAGGAGAAGAAGAAGCGTGAAGCAAAGGAAAGAAATGACCGTGATAATTCACATCCAAACCAGTCAGCCTCAAGCAAAGGTAAACCAGTGAGCTCCTACCTCCATATATATCTGGAGCGAGAATTCTTGATTCAGCCCCTTTTACTGTTTTTGTCTGTGCGGCTAAAACAATATGTGCTGTAATTTCATATTTTGACATGGATTTAAAGAATAACCATATGGTTTTGTGAACTGATAACTTGGTTAGCAATACGGTCTGTTAAAAAATCTAGCTATCCAATCTTGGCCTCACCTTTCTCATAGGACAAATGACTAAAGTTCTTGCTCTAGATATTTATAGATCACACCGAGGTAAACATGTCATGATGTTGTAGACAGGTAAATATCGTCCTGTACAGTGGGGTACTGTATTGGACTATATTTGCAAACACTAATATTCACCCATGCAGCATGTTGGCTGATCGTTGGAATTTCGCATTGTTTAGAGAAATCTATGCGAGATTCTATCCGAGAGTTATCAAACAAGAGAGACAGCCAAGGACATGCAGTTATTGGAAACAAGTATGATAGAGAGAAGACCTCCTACCCCAGAGATGAAAATAAAAGACTGCCCCAACAGTATGAGAACAAGAGACTGCCGCAGCAGCACGAAAACAAAAGACTACTACCGCAAGAGAACAAAAGACTACCTCAACAATATGGGCCAGATAGCAAGAGATTGCCCCAACAACACACTCCAGATGGCAAAAGATCTCAGACACATCACAATCAGGCTAATAATCAAGCAAATTCCCACATTGTCAAAACAACGTCTGCAAATACTACTGCTGTTTCTACTACCATTCACAGGTAATATTGGACATGTGTGTGGTCATGTTTTTGTCAACCCATCAATGCCCTTTTTATAAGTCAAATCATCTCTCACTAGACATAATTTGTATGATTTTATAAAAACAACAGAAAAGTTTTTTTTCCATATTCCCATGGAAGTTTCAAAAGAACATAAAATTGCCATTACCCCATGTTTCCACATGGGTATCCACTATACAGTATAACTTAGGAAAGTGTTTTCTGTTTGGTAATGTGTATATGTTTGTTTATATATTTCAGACCTGATCAAGTATTTGCTAAAGCAGAAACAAAAGGTTTGTATGTAGTTGTTGATAGTGAATTATATGTTTTCAATGTCATTACACCAGATCCATCCTAAAATAAAACCACCTGATTGGGTCAAATTTTAAAGCCCATGTTTAAAGCCTGAATTTAAAGCCTGAAAATAATTTATTTAAATCATATATCATACCTCTCTACAATGAGTTGCTTTTCTCTTAAGAAAATAAGAACCTATTAAGGACCTGTTTAGCCTAATTTCCTGTTAAGGCCATTTACATTAGAACCTGTTTAGGCTAACTTGGAAGATCTAGGTTCTTATATGCAGGGTTTTACTGTATAGTTTTCAAAATACATACTGAAAAAGTAGTAAAACTTAATATAATAATATAAGATATTGAATTTATATTGCGCATGTTAGCATGGAAATATGTTCACTATGTTCATGTAGTTTAATTAACATTATTGAGAATTACATTTTGTGCTTTTCAATATTTCTTGAGTAAAAATAAACTTCTTCTTAAACAATGTTTTGAATATAGTTTCACCATCGGGAAGCTTGCAAGATATTTCACCTCCTGTCACTCCAGTTATTGCAGTTTGTCAGAGTCGTTCTCCTGCTGTCGCTGTTTCACCCGTGATCACCACCCGCTCCCCCATCATGTTGACCCATCGCTCCCCCGCCACTATGCACAACCAGTCCCCTGTACAGCCGAATGCACAGAGATTGCTCCCAATGCCCCATAGGACCTCGACTAGTACACCCCCGCCACCGCCCCCACCCATTTTCCCACAAGTTTCCCCTGTGCAGACTGCAGCACAAGTTCGACACACAGAGGCTTCACCAAAGAATTCAGTTCGAGCTAGTATGGAGAGTTCATCCAAACAGCAAGAAAGCGCAACGTTCAATGGTCTTCACGGTTTCTCACAAAGCCAACTGCATCCTTTACAGCAAGCAACTTTACTTCAACAGGTACTGTGTTATAATTTGTTTGTCCTTGACAATATAATTACACAAACTTTGGCTGCACAAACTTTGCGTGTTCTTTGTTATCAAATAGTAGTTACTGGAAACTGCTGTGTGAAAGACGCGAGTATATCAACAAGAAAACGCTAAAAATATTTTTATTTCAGGCTCAATTTCAAGGTAATACTGTCATCCGACCTGCAACGTCCACACAAGGTAATGTACTCTAAAACACCAACCTGAATGAATACAATCTTTGCTATCAACTGATCCACCAGATATCCCCAAAAAAACTGGACAATGATGAATGCATTTGATATTAATACTACATGACTACAATTTAGTTTTCACTGAACATCCGTCTAACTGCTAGTCTTTGTATATTTAGTATCAACTAGATCTGCTGGTCCGTCGCATTTCCAACCCATCAAACAATCCAATTCCAACCCTAGTTCCCCCCAACCATTTCACCCACGCTCTTATCAATCTATGGCTCCTGCTGTGCAGAGAACCACCGTGGCTTCTATCAAACAACCCATTCTACACCCCCCTCCTCAGTCTGTGAATCTTCAAGAATTTGTTAACCAATGCAGCCGTGAACTTATTACACATACCCTGGGTTGGCCTGCAGACTCTATGGAAAAACAGGTATTTCGAAGACCACTGGTTTGACGGTAATGAGAGTTGGCAGTCACCTAGCCTGCGAGCAGGCTCACTGGGTAAAAAGGTGATGCTCGCAGGCTAGCAGTCACCATTTAAGTTAAAACATAGTTGGAACACTCATCAAACCTTTGCCAATGTAGAGCTTGAAATGCCCCCTGTAACAATACGCGACTGCTAACTTTCGTTTGACTGGGACGTAAGAATACACAATTTGTATTAGAGAACACGTCTTCCTTTTCTTTTCATTCAGGCGCTGAGATCAACTGATGATACAAATAATCTATGCTTGGTGAACAGCAGACTTAAAGCTGACTTAATTCCTTTAAACTTTCATCATAATCTTACCAGGATGAGAATGGGTGTCGGAACGAAACGGTATGTGTACTCCCACAGTATTGTATACCACAGGTATTTTTCCAAAATTGCGACCGCCCCTTCGTAATTTTGTGTTTATAGTTCATGCCGCTTTAAATTCGTTCCTGCCCAGAGATAGTCGGTTTAGTCAAGCTAGCGGGACCACTCGCTCTGGTATGCAGTAAAACAAAACTCTAAGCTTTCCGTAGCGACGTGAAAAAACTCCTATCCGTACCTTTTAGGAACGCTATTTTCAGCGGAATTATTGCAACGGAGAGATGTTGTTTCGCTCAGCTTCTGAAAGTTGTACATTCCGAATCGAATAGGTATCTGGTATAGTGGAAACGTTGCCAAAGTCTAAAGCAAACCCATTCTCGGTCTGGTTTTGTATTAGTCCCGCGTGCATAGGACCGTAGATTTAGTTCATTACGCTCTGAAAAACACAAGTAAAACTTCGACTAAAACTTATATATTTCTCGTACTTTATTTTGCAGGATTGAATTTCTTCGCGAGCAAACCCGAAAGCTAGAATCATCGGATGCAGTTAGTTAAGTTTCAATTCCTGGTTGATTTTTAAATGTTCAATGCAGTGTCTTTATGAAGACCGTGCTGTAATGTAGTCCATGCACTGAGACCATTGTATAAATTAGTATTTTACTATTGTGAATGAACCAGGGCGTAGCTATATGAAAGCTTGAACTGCAAATCGAACAAAAACAGATGTACTGTTGTGCATAGGAATAAATGAAGATGTAGTGTCTTTTCAAACAATTCTTAAAATGTCGTTTTTAGTTCCTTCTCAAGCCCCGTATTACCGTAAATCCTCTTTTAAGCCAGGGAGGCTAAAAGTAAAAAGAATCCCCTTTGTAATGAGCCTCGCCCCTTTTTAATAATCCTTGTCCTTTCCAAAAAGCCTCACCCTTTCCTTAGAGGAAAAAAATTACCCTTCCTTGTACTCGAGTTCCCACGTTCTTCGTATAGCTCAAGCGTTCTGACAAAACAATAAGCTGGCCTATTGAACCTGACCCCTCGCTCCACTCTTTTCCCTCGGGGGACTGGTGCTGAATAGAGGATATACGGTAATAGGGATTTTTGAAATGGAAGGCGCTCACGGAAAGACGACGGCCAAACAAATTTGTTGAAATAAATAATTATCTAGTATTCTTGCCTTGTATTAACTATCGTATATATACATCGATGAACGCATGGATGATTTATAAATGTTCAAGTGAGGGTACATACAGTATGTACTTTGAACATTCATAACTTATCTATTCGTTCACATGCATCAGTAGAAGAGCATCACATTAGAAATAGCAGCAAAAATTGCACGTGTAAACGGGTCTAAAAATTCGCATAAGAATTTGAATCATCAATGTACTACATGGTGAATTTGATTGTGTTGATAGCCGTTGTCTTTATGTTAACGTCTACCGTATTCAAATTCCCTACTCAACAGCATGACAGAGTTTTGTTCATTGCCACTGTAATAAACCAACCATACTGGACAGCTCTGCGAGTTTTATCTAAATTCTTCTCCATAGAGGTTCAGCAAGAGCCGTTCCTTATTGGTGCAGTATTTTTCAAACGTGAGGTGTTTGGGCGTAAAAAAAATACTTGTGGTTCCGGTTTCATATCGTGAAAAAATTAGGGTCTGTAGGTCGGAAATTTTTTTTTTTTTTAATACTTTCGTGGTTTTGCTGGGCGATTTGCAGTAGTCCCAACATCGATATTAACTAGAGATGCGTATTTCCTATGGACGAATTTAGGCAATTTGGTTCAATAATTAGTGTGACAACAGACGCCATTTTGGCACGCTGTATGAGCAGCCCGCAACCACCTGGAGAAAATAGGGTCGCATAGTCAATCGCGTTGAAAAAATAATAGGGTCGTCAGGATTAGGATTGGTCTGAAACCGGAACCACAGGTTGTTTTTTACGCACATGAGACTCAAGGGGATAATCAGACAATTGAGTACCGCAGGAATCGAACCTTTAGTTTTAGAAAACGTCGTATTTTCAGAGTAACCAGGTTTAAATAAAATGAGGCAAGTAGAAGATTTCAATTTTTACCATAAATAATACAAGATTCCGTGTGTTTTCCTAACTATATCCCATCTATCAATGCGTATACTTAGTTTTTGCGGGTGCATCTAAGCCTGCATAAACAGTATTATCAGTCTCGCCAACCACACGGACACTAAGATAGGACAACAACCCCTCGATGGTCAAATTCTGCTGTTTCATAATACTAGAATAGACAACAGCCTCGGCTTTATAAGCTTCCGTGATTGCCTCAGCTTTGGCTTTTGCCTTCGTCTCCGCAATCTTAGCTTTAGATTTAGCTAAAGCGATTGTGATTTCGGCTTGAGTTTCTGCTTGCTTTAGTTTCGTTTCCGCCTCAACAAGCTGTCGAGGTCGTTCCAGTTCCGCGGTCGTAATGCTTTCCTTCGCACTTTCCTTTGCTTGTAACGCTTGCTCGTATCGCAAAGGTCTTGCGATGTTACTCATTTGTAAGTCCGTCACCACAACATGTATATCTCCCAATCGCTCTACCATGATCTCTTGGATTCGACTTTGGAATTGTGTCCGTTCGTTCACAGTTTGACTTGTGTTGTATTCACTGCACGCATCATGGATAGCGTAGAGACCTATAGATCTGTTGAAAAATTGTGTTAGCCTGGTTTAGACTATCAAAGTTTCTGTGGCAACAGTAGGAATTTTGCATGGGTAAATTCTAAGTTTTGAAGTAATATTTCAAATCTGACTACAAGGACGACTTGCGCTTTAGAAAAATTTTTAATCTGAGAATAACAAAGGATATTTTCGGAAAGAAGTTATCAAAATTAGAAAAACTGCAAAGTTTGGTTGCGAAATGTTGTAAAATACGGAAAATATAGCCCTGCGAAGTTGGCAAATTTGTATACATTTCTATCACGTGCGGAAATTGGTAACTAATTTAGTTACCAATTCACGCACGTAATACAAAAGTATACAAATTTGCCAACTTTGAAGGGCTATAGTTTCCGTATTTTACAACATTTCGCAAGCAAACTTTGTAATATTACTAATTCCAAGACGCTCTTTCTAGCTGTGGTGATAGATTTCGTTGTTCTTACTTAGATTAAAATTTAGTCTAAAGCGCGAGTCGTCCATTTGTGTCCGCAGAATGACATCTCGTACGAATCAATCATTACTTAAAGTGAGATGAATTAATTTTGATCCAGGAGTGCAACAATATAGTTCAATCTTCACCAGGTATCCAGTACTATCATGTGACTGAGCAAAATGAAGCAATATGGTTGGCTAATTTACTCATCAATTAATAATGATTTTGAGATGGATTGGTAAGAAATGTTTGAGGGAACCAACTCGGCGTTTAACGCCTACCTATGCAAAATTTCTAGCGTGATCACAGAAATTTTGATAGTCAACATTTCTTCAAGCGTGCGTTGAGGGGGGGGGGGATCAAAGATCCATCTTCATTTCTAAGGTTTAGCGTAATCTTTAGAGAGGGAGAGGGTTGATACATTTTTGAGAATGTGAACAATTGTGGATGACCCCTTAATTGATCTCTTTTTAATGTGGTTGTCAGCTTGAATTCAAACCAGTTGTCAGTAACATATTTTGGGTATTCATACCTGACCACTTTTTCATATTTGTCAGCATCTCGAAATTCCAGCACAATTTTCTTCAGGTAGTTTGCATCGACTCGATACTGGAATTCTACATCCAGTCCTATAACTAGACCATCTTTGTTCAAACACGTCACACTGCTGTAGGAGATGGACTCGAAAATACTCGAGAATTTGATAAATTTGAATCCAGGTGCTCCAAAGTGAAGACCTTCTCTCTTTGCTTCGCTGCCCAGCTTTCTTTGGTTTGGATCATAGCTTAATCCAACTGAATTTTGAACAGAACAGAGAGGTTCAGATTTTGATTTCTGCTACCGGTACTATTTTGTAATGTTTTGGTGGAACTTATGTTCTGTTGTCGTTACCATATATCTTTATACAGGGTGTATAAAAAAACTGAACAGATATGAATTTCCTCTCAATTTCGCAAAACAGTCATTAGTATCCAATTTTTTATGTATATAGTATCTTTGGCTACTTATAATTTTAAACAGATGGGAAATTTGTTGGATTTTTAATTACTGTACAAAATGTCAGACAATTTGCTTTAGTTTAAGTCCTTTTCATTTTTTCCTAAAAAATCTGCTTTTCGCATGCTTAATGCCTTTACCTAATATTAATCTGCATATTGCTGTATATGCAAATTAGGCAAAGGGATTAATTAGCATGCAGATAGCTGATTTTTTAGGAAAAGTGTAAGTTTGCGTGAATAGTTGAAGGACTTAAACTAAAGCAAATTGTCTGAAATTTTGTACAGTAATTAAAAATCCAACAAATTTCTCATCTATTAACTCAAAATATGATTAAAGCTTTTAAATTTCGTGCGCAAGCCATTTAGTTTGTTGGAAAAGACACCCCTGGTTCACAAAATTTGAGCTCGAGAATTTTTTTCATTATTCTACATTATAAATACCCAAAGAAGCTATATATGTATATATATATATATAAAAAACTGGATACTAATTGCTGTTTTGCAAAATTGAGAGCAATTTCAAATCTGTTCAGTTTTCTTTATACAATAACTTTCCTGCCCAAACTTGCTTTGCATATCATTATGACGCCATGCGTGCGCACCCTCACTTGTATGCAAATAAAAAATATTTAAAAAAACATTTACCAATCAGATGCATTTATTCCACCTGGCTTACAAAAAACCTGTTTGGTTGAGTCAAACTGGACGTACTCTTCTCACTCAATGCGAAGAAAGTTTCGCTAAATTTGCAAGACAAAATTACCAGTTGCAAATCCTGCGAGTTTCATACCTTCAGTTGAATCGAGTCGTTTCCCCGAGGATGCAATAAGACCAATCGCAATGACCACGAGCGCACCCACCAAACCGAGAATCAATATTGTTTTTGTTTCCATTATTCTGAAGTGAAATCAACTATTTCATATAAGCGTCCTGTTGAAATGCCAGTTCCTGACATTGACAGAAAAAAACAGAAAATGTCTATTTTAAGACTCATGCCTTACTGTCAAAAATCAGGCACGAGTAATATCTGCGTTCCCAGGCTTGAATGAAAACTAAGCAATTTTTTGAAGAAAATTTTTAAACAATATTATGATTTATGATATAAAATGCTACTTGGAATAGCTGTGCCTGTGTAGCAATATTTCATGGTAATTCTCATGGGCTGACTCCATTACTGACACTTGATGGATATTTATAGATTATACAACCGAATACTTGAACTCCAAGCATTTTGAGTTTGATAGAGCCAGCTACCATAATCGACAGTACCTGCATGAGACGAATTGTTGGATTTATTTAATAGGACAAACAATATTATATTCAGACTTTTACATATACCTATTACCTTGCACTAAATACCATACACTAAAAACTATGCCGACCGTATTGCAGGACATATAAAATTCCTTGGTTGTCAACACGCAAGTATCAAAGTCTCGCTATATAAAACAAAATGAACAGCAAAGCTTTGGTTACTTACCTAGCTGTGTACGATCATGGAAACTCGGAAGCAGAATGAAAGCAGCTACAAGCAGCTAGGATGGTTTCAAAATCTATCGCAACAGACGGGAAACGTCATAGTGAAAAACAAAGACCCCTGGTGACAAAATCCTTTTTGTGTAAATTAATTCCGACGCGCGCTTAAACATGTCTTAATTTGTGTGCTTCAGAGCAATAAGAGCATGATTTTAATACCTCTCCTAGTGTAATTGTCTCCGCGTTTCTCATTATGGAACGATAAAGCAATCTCTTTGTGCGCTTCAAATATACAAAAGATATATTGAAAATAGCTTTAATATTGCTTTCATTTTTGACTCAATCGAATGGGGGAAATAATTATCATCACCTATTCACCATTCCCATCCCATGGGGTTTTTTACTGTTTTGCAATATTTTAAAAAATCGCTTCCTATTCAAGCAAGCTAATCTGGCCTAATCTGGTGTTTGACTTTAGCCTTTGCATGTAACTTACCAGCAAACAAGAATTATTTACAGGCGAGAATCGAAATCAAAATTTGAAAGTGAATTCACAAGCGAACTTCAGTCGAATATTCACGATTTATCAGGTTTATAAAAAAATATATCACGCGCCCCGTTGTCAGGTGGGCGTGCAAGCATTTGTGCTATTTTTGTTTGGATCATTGCCTGTGCATGTTGGTTAGTTGTTAGTCCAACTTCAACGATGGCGGACGATTCAACATACTGGAAGTTAGGTGGTGCTGTTCTGGCTGTAGGACTTCTGTTGATGGTCATTCTACTGCCCCTCAGTTTTTCTGATGTCGAATATTATGAGGTATTATTACGATAGATATTAATTAACACATATTATAAACTGTAATCTTAGTTTTAACTAGCTTGTATACAGAACCTGGCGTCTGGTATCAGTTATTTGGTTAATCTGAGATGTACCACCGTGCAATTCACTAGAAACCGTGTTTCTCGTCGATGCTATCCGAGGAAAGTCAGCGACATATAATTGACATAATAAACGAACTTCATTTCTGTATATTTGATATGTCCATATAATTTATTTGTGCATTTGACCGTTCTACTGTTTGGATAGTTTGGAAATCCCAATTTTTAAACACAAAAAATATCATGGTTCAAAAGTTTCCGCGCTTGTTGTCACAACTGAGACCTGTTTAATGTGTGCCGCACACAAGAGCCCTTCACTGGAGAAATGACATCGCGAGGCTGTTTTCCCGTACGCAGGATTTTCTCACCAGGGGGGGGGCAGTAAAGTCTATATGCCAAAAAGGGTAATCGTTCCATGTTTCGCGCACCTATATAGTAAACGTTATGTAATGGATATTATAGTGTACTGAAAAGTTAACTGAATACCTCTTTACACATATATACACACCCTAACCCTAACCTTAAACCTAACCCAAACCCCTAACCTAACCCCTAACCCTAATGCCTACCCCTAACCCTAACCTATATTGGTGCGCGAAACATGGAACGATAACCCCAAAAGGTCCCAAATATCCAACGAATAATTAATGATGACATTCCGAAAATCGTAAATATAGTTTTCCCTAGGGGGGGGGGGGGACAGTTGCCCCAGTTAGCTCGGCCAAAACCTCTTGTTTGCAACAGGCTTCAGGAGTTTGAGAACACGAGATATCGTGACATTAAACGAAAATGGGAAAAAAAGAGGAAACAGTTTATCTGAGGGTGCTTGAAATATCAAGTGCTCGAGAATGTGCTGATGTATTATGACGTCACTGACTTCATCCTGACTTGTCCCTAGTCGCTCATACCGCGAATGTAACAGTTCTGGCATTCTCAATAGTGCTTACTTCGGCGTTCTCGTGGAACATTGCCGAATTGCTTTTTCGAAGTGATGTGGAGTGATTGTGGAAGTCATAATTCATCATTCATACACTGGCGAAGCTAGCCTTATTCAAACCTTTAGACATGTGATGTCTATTATGTCTTTACTCTTTTAGCCTATCCGCTAAGCATCTACGTTTATTAGCATAGCAGGATCAGTTGCCATGGCTAGCTGATGTATAATGTATTTATGAAGTGATATATTCATGTATTGCTGTCAATTCATGCATTCAATAATAAGCATACTGTGGACATACATAACAGAATGAGGTCCTCGCGTACCATTAATCCATTAATGGCATCACCCATTAATTCTGGCTATACTGTTAACATCGTCTGTAAATGTTCGGACAGAATCACTGGCATACGCACGTAAAAACGCGCAAGTTGTAACAAACCTTCAGCAGACTTGTAACAATGCTGTTCCAACAACTTGTCAACAGGATGTGTTCGCACTGCTTGTTCCCAGCTTGTTGACATGTTGTCAACGGCTTGCTGACAACTTGCTACAAGGTTGTTCTCAACAGACTTGTTACAAGTTGTTCCAACAGTTTGTTATCGTCACTGATCTACACACACAAAAATCTCCTGCATCTTGTACACACGTAAAAACACACAAGTTGTGACAAATCTTTTCACAAGCTGTCGACAAGTTCACTGGCGACAATCTCACATCTTGTAGCAAGTCTGCCAACAAGTCGTCAACAAGTTGTCTTCGCAGTTCGCACAGCTTGTCCCAAGTTGTCAACAAGTTTGGAACAAGCTGTTAACAACTTGTAACAACCTTGTTCATATTATCAAACTTGTTGCAAGGTTGTTCCAACAAGTCCGATACAGTCATGATATAACAATATTGTTACAACCTTGTGTCGTCAACCTTGTAACATTCTTGTTATATCATTACTGCATCAAACTTGTTAGAACAACCTTGTAACAAGTCTGATAATGCCATCAAGCTTGTTCCAAACTTGTTACAACAACTGGGAACAAGCAGTGCGAACACAACTTGTTGACAGCCTGTGAACAGATTTGTAAGAACTTGTTTGCAGACTTGTGACAACTTGTGCGTTTTTACGTGCTTCTTGTTCCCAGTTGTTGTGACAAGTCTGGAACAATCTGTTAACAACTTGTAACAAGCTTGATTGCATTAATTATCAGACTTGTTACAAGGTTGTTCTAACAAGTCTGATACAGTCATGATATAACAAGAATGTTACAAGATTGACGACACAAGGTTGTAACAATATTGTTGTATCATGACTGTATCAGACCTGTTGGAACAACCTTGCAACAAGTCTGATAATATCAACAAGGTTGTTACAACTGTTAACAAGTTGTTCCATACTTGTTGACAACTTGGGACAAGCAGTGCGAACACAACTTGTTGACGGCTTGTTGGCAGACCTGTCAACAAGCCGTCAACAAGTTGTGTGTTCGCACTGCTTGTCCCAAGTTTTCAACAAGTTTGGAACAAGCTGTTAACATCTTGTAACAACCTTGTTGGTATTATCAGACTTGCTGCAGGGTTGTTGTAACAAGTCCGTTACAGTCATGATGCAACAATATTGTTACAATCTTGTAACATTTTGTTACATCATGATTGTATCAGAATTGTTAGAACAACCTTGTGACAAGTCTGATAACACCATCAAGCTTTTTACAATTTGTTAACAGTTAGCTTGTTCCAAACTTGTTAGAACAACTGGGAACAAGCAGTGCGAACACAACTTGCCGACAGCTTGTGAACAAATTTGTAACAACTTGTTTGCAGACTTGTAACAACTTGTGCGTTTTTAAGTGTGTAGACCTGTAATTCAACACCTTGTCAACACGTACATCGTGAGTGACAACCTTGTAGCAACTTGATAAAATAACAGCATTGTTACAACTTGTTGACAAGCTTGCTACAAGCCTGTTGCAAACACATCTTGTTGACAAGTTGTGAGATTATTACATGTTTGGCTGTCGGGCGGCACATCGTGCCGTGAAAAACTAAAATAGACAAATGCCAATTTACAAAAGTCTTCCTCTATAGATTGCGTTCGTGCAGAGAAAATCAACAGGAACTGTGTACACTGACGAAGTGTACTCCGGTGGTCGCCATCTTATTGGTCCAGACTTTAAATTCAAAACTTACCAAGCTGACGCACACGTGGTGGAGTTCGCATCAAGTGATTTAGATGTTTCCACGAGTGACAAGTTGTCTATTCGACTTCAAGCTCACATGCAATATTTCCTCCGTGAAGAAGATCTTTCTGAACTACATAGGAGATTTGATAAAGGTATTATCCAAAATGATTTGATAAAAGTATTATCCCAAAGGCTTGTTTTTCAGTACAAAAAACTTGGGGTTAGTGTAGGTGAATATATTCATACCACCCCATCAACATTCCCTGTGGTATACACAACATTATAATATAGCATTTGTAAATTCTCAACGCTGATTGGCTAAGAGCCGTGTTGATATAACTCAATGTCAACACGGGAAATTTTCCGCCGCTTGTAAAAACGGAAATTTTTCTTTTTCTTCGGGCTTTTGACATTGCTATATTATAAAAAAAATATAAAACATTTTTTCCGTATTGATATATAGTTATATCAACACTCGTGGAAGTTGGGAAAACTCGAAATTGTATGAAAACACTCCGCCCTTCGGGCGTCGTGTTTCCACACAATTTCTCGTTTTCCCAATTCCACTCGTGTTGATATAACTGTATATCAACACGGAAAATGTTTTATATTTGTTAAATATGTGTTCTCACACACCGCTGGGAGCTGCTGCAGCGTCAGCCGCAACAACAAAAATATTTTGGGAGCTGCTGCAGCGTCAGCCGCAAGCTTGACATTTATTAATTTAAACTACCATACATTACAAATGCTCGCTTAATAATTACCCTAACAGGTACATATATATCCAATCCAACGCCGTTCTGTAC